TGTGTTGTAATCATAAATATTGGTATTGGATGAAAATATGTTCCCACCGTTAAGTAAGTCAGTTTTGACAATATTACAGATTCGTAAATAAATGGGCAAGGCATTGGTAAGATTCCAAACTCAATTAAGAGCGGATCACGCGAATGGCATTTTTTCGTTATTCGCATAATTTTCTTTTGCAATCTAAAGGTTTGGGTACTACATGATGAGCTTCCCCAGAATATTATGCCATATATCAGACGGGAATGCACATTTGCAAAATACATGCAACGAGCTGCATGAAGGCTGGCAGAATTTGAAAGAATTATGAATGCGTAACGTAATGCTCTTAATTTAGTGTTTAATTATGTTATATGTACATTTCATTTGAGATTTGACTGCATTGAGAGACCTAGAAATTTTGTTACCTTAACATCAGATAATTGCATATTGTTCATTTTCAATGGAGCATGCGATTGCTGATTTGAAATGCAAAAAACTTGATCCTTTTTGAAACTTTTTCCTTCGTTAACTATTAATTGATTACAAAATCAATTTTCAACTTCAGAAATCGTACTATTCATTGTTTTTGTTTTGCAAAGATCATTCGTATCGTCGGCAAACATACCTGTTCTTCCGTTTTTAATAGACGAGGACATATCGTTTACGTACAACAGAAAGAGGATAGGACCTAAGATCGAACCTTGCGGGACCCCATATTCAATTGATAAAGAATTGGAAAGATAAGTAAATAATGTCGTGCCAGTACAGTATTTCTACACTTTGGATAACTTCGTACTGTAAACATCGATCTCAATCTGGAGCGATACCACGAATTCCATAAGGTAATTTAAATAGCAAGATGTTATGGTCAATAACACAAAAAACTTTTGAAAGATGTAAAAATATTCCAATAGGTCCTTCATTTTGGTCCATTGATGAAGCAACATCTTTAAGAAAAGAAAAAAATGGCAGTTTCCGTTGATTTTGAGTTTCTAAAACCGTGTTGCGAGTTTGAAAACGCTTCGTTTTTCCGGAGAAGTTTCCATTCACATATTGAAGAGCCTCTCTAATATTTTTGAGAAACCTGACAAAAGAGAAATTGGCCGGTAATTTTGAATTTCATTTTTGTTCTCTTATAAAAAGTGTCTTTAATTTCTCCTGTTTTGAAAATATCTAGAAATATTCCTGTGCATAAAGCGGCATTGAAAATGTGAGTTAAGGTGTATAATCGCAGGTACACAATTATCAATTAACAGTGCGCAAATTCATTTAAACCAGATTAAAATTTATTTTTTAGTTTACTGACTATTCTCAGGATTTCGTTAGAAGTTTGGAATATAAACATCGTGTCGAAAATGTTTTGGGAAGGGAATGACGTTGAATTTTGTGGTTTTAGTCCCTTCGTGAGTTTAGCGGCGATTCTAGAAGTGTTGGTTGAAGAGATTTGCTTTTTCGGATTACTGGCTTCTCCTTCATTATCTTCTAGAACAACATTCTCTACTAAATAACGAGATGATGTGGTTGTATTTTTTTCGATATTCCACATTGCTTTAGTTTTGTTACTTGCTTTCAAAATATCCTGATTATTTTTGCCTGAACTATTACTTTCCTTAAAATTCTTTTGTATTCTCGGAAATAGACATAGAAACCGGGTGATACTTTGTGTTCAAAAATAAAGTAAGGTGAAGGTTTGTTTTTACACGATGTTCTAATGCCTCGTGTGATCCAAGTATTATTTCTCCGTCAAATGTTTGATTTTTTTCTTTTTGAGAGGAAAGCATAGTTTTTAAAAAAACATTAATACTTTTTATTGCCTGTATTTCACTCACAATTACTAGAAAACTACTAAAATAATAAACAAAATGTTCATGTCGATACTAAAAGTAGGAATTGTGGATAACAAATTTCATTTTAATAAGAAATCGATATCTTCAATACTGTCGTAGTCGGAAGACGTCAAAAATATCCCACTTTTGTAATTTCTATAAATTTTAAAGGCAATTCTGAACATCTGACCCTTTTATTTACCTTTATAATTATTTATTAAAATTCACTTAAAATCGGACCTTCTTTATAACCATCTTTTACACTATTTCTTACAATAAAAAAAATCGAGTCATTTTTGAGATTTCGAAAAATGTTCAGGCTTCATGCAAACTACCTCAAAATTAAAAAAAAAAAATCAAAATCGCAGAGCTTCTAGTCAGGCCACTTCGACTAGGGAATATTGGAGTATTCATTTTGCAAAACTTACGAACAGTTTGGGTGGAATTGTTCACAGACGGATGGACAGATGAAAGTTGGAAAAAAAAAGAAAGAGAACAGAAAAAGAGGGAGAAGAAAGCCCTTTTTGGTATCAGGGGTGCCCCAAAACATGAATTTCCGTTGAAGTACGAAATCGATTTTCCGCAGTATTACGTAACATTCTCTTTACATCCCGTACGTACGTAACGAGGAAGTAACTAGTCGTGAAGCAAAATGGCACAGACATTTTTTTAATACTACTAGGCTTCCTCACTGAAAAGTTTGGGCTACCTTTTCAGTTTGGCCCCCACCATATTCACAGCTGCCATCTATTGGCGATTTCTAGACAATTTTTCGGATTCCTCACAGAAGAAATGAAATATGACTTGAAGAATTGTAAAGAGTAAAATCTGGTTCTGGAAGGATTTTCATTGAAAAAATTGATGCCACCTTTAAGGGGAAAAAAAGAAAAAAAAAAAAAAACGTTAGAGCGTTTCTGAAAAAAACACATTTTTTTGTGCTTTTTCAGACAGCAATATGTTTGATAATACATGGCGATAAGTGCTAATAATATTAATCATCGGCGAGTAGGTTGGTTAAGGGAATACATCGTTTTTGAATTAACAAAAGAATGCAGTTAAATGTAAGTTTATGTCAACTTAGCGGGCGCTATCTGTCCAAAAAAAAAAAAAAAAAAAAAATAAAAGGAGTTTTTCGAGGAAATGGCATTTGAGGTTTTCTGAAAATAAGCAGTTTTGAGGTCATTCTCATAGAAAGCATTTGTTTTCGATAAATTTCATTGGAAATCATTTCAAACACTGAGAGTAGTTCATAAACACAAATTGCCAGTAATGAAAGTAAATATTAACAAACAGGAAAGATGTCAAAAAAATTACATCCGTGTAATTTTATATTAATTTTATTTTCGATTGAACAAAATATTACTGAAAAATGGCATTTATGTCATGTTATAATACTGGCATTTAATACTATTCCTACAAAACTGAAGAAATAAATTTGAAACTGTTTTTCAGAAATTTTTTGTTATAAAAAATTGCTTGGCAAAAAATTGTACATAACATTACTTACAGAACTAATTTGGAGAACAAATTTTATTTGAAAGAAAAAACTTTATATTCAATATTTTATTTTTAGGAATATGCCTTAAAAAAAATCAGCTTTTGCAATTTTTGAAAATTTAGAGTTAACTGCGAAGACTGCATCAATGCCACTTTTGTACCACATATTTCACTACATTTTTACGGAAAATATAAAAAAAGCAATTTGGTGCCATTTCGGAGGAAATTTTGAATATGACTTGGTGGCTTTATGTAAAGTAACCCCCAAAACTTTTAGAATATTTTTCAAACTTACAGAGCTTAGAGCCAGGCCAGATCCGTTGAAATCTCAAAATCTATTTTCCACAAAATTACATAATTTTCTCAACACAAAATGTATTATTTCTTGTATACACATGTATACACGAGAGTAAAAATCATGGCATCAGCAATGCAATAGTCTAGCATCAGCCCAGGAAATCTAATTAGGAATTTTTTACAGAGATATTTGATACTTTTTAGGTTGTGTTGTGCCAGAAAATATAAGTGTGACAGGAATCTTATGTCATAGAAGCTGGATGGCAAAAGCTCCTTACTTCCAAAAAATGATTGCGTTCAGCCGTCAATTGTCAGGGGCATTTCCACAGAGCTCTGTGGAAATGCCATCAGAAATATGTTTATTCTTAATGAATCTATTTGTCAAAATCTAGTTTAATCCCCCCCCCACACACACACACTTTTACAATTATTTAATTTAATAATTTATAATGAAAATTTGGTAGAAACATTAAAAGTGGCATTGTCTGAATGTGTAAGCTCTTTGTGGTATTTGAACACAGAGGAAGTCCCTCTTTCCTTTTAACTTTCTCACATTTACATTGTAAGAAGAGAAAGTATTGTAATCATATGCTGGAAAATGGTGACTTTTCATCACTAAGACTTTGAGAATCTCATTTGTACCATTTGGCAACTTTTAAGGGTCTCAATCAAAAAAATGTTGTTAGTGAATTTCTTGCCCTAACCTACACACTTCGTTTTGCCTCAATAAAGTTCCACATTTTCTTATGAGGCTCTCTATATGCGTTTTCTGGTGTTCCCATTTTTCAGAAATTGGTCACCCTGATTCCGAGACCATCTTTCATGCCAGGTTTGTAGTTTTTTCCTGTACTTCCCTCTGAGAAATCATTTTTATTCTTTTTGCAACAATTCAAAGATTTATTTTTTTAAATGATGTGAAATTAGGGAAAGACTGGTCGTATCAGCTGCAACAAGAGATTTACCACCGCAGAGGTGAAAATACCCAAATTGTTATTTGGGAAAGCAGTAGCAATGGGATTTCAGAACTTCCTTTATACAGAGTTGTGGAAACTGGAGACACAATCTGTTGCCCATAAACTTTCAAATTCTAAGTGAAGATATTTTTTTCTGAATACAAGGGGATACAACTTGCAAAGGCAAGTCATGAGCCTAAATGGTATTCTTGGACCTATCATTTTCTACTATTATGCATCATATTTAAATCATTCTTTTCTACTAATAAGAATATATAAATAAGTTACCTATATAATTGTCTTTAGAAATCTACTTACTACAATATATAAGACAACAAAATCAATGTAGCATCATCATACCAAAGATAATACTATAGTTGGCACTGCGCAAAGTGGTTTTGAATAGCACACACTTAAAGAAGATGTAAAATAATAGGGCAACAGATGAAGAATAAGCAGCATTAAATGTTCAAGTTTTATCATTCACTGTAACAATGTACAAGTTCGTAGTTATGAAATCAACAATGATACAATTTAATGCCGCGTCGATTACGAATTTGGGATCAGCTAATTACGAGATATATTATATTATATTCCATCTCTTGGTTCACTTAAATTTTCTAGTAGTATAAGATGTTTTGCTTAAAGATATGCAAACTACATTAATCCGCAATAATATTACTTTTAATTATGTTGTATTATTCACAATTAGCTCATACAAAATTTGAAAAATTGAAAATTGTGGAGTCACAACTGTATATTAATAATTTTAAAGAGAGTATTTTTTAAAACTTCATACCACACAAATATTTGAAGAAGGAAAATAACAATGGAAGGATTATTGGAATTAACACAAAATTCAAGTACTACCTTGACATTACTTTAATATTATGTAAGGACATCATTAGACCACCTGCACTGCTAACATAAAAGAAAAGGCAGTCTATCATATGTTGTAGCATTCAGACATTGAACAGAAGTCACTTCATCACTCATAATGTATGTTTGAAAACATCTCCAACATCCATTTATTCCTTGCCAAAATTTACAAGATAAAAATGTCTCAATTTGTACTGTGACATTAGAAGCCAGATGCCCTTACTTAAGAAATGACAGATATTCATTCTTTCAATATAAGATCATCCGGAAGAGATTTGTTTGTACTTTTGTTTCTCCTTCTGGAATGTAAAAAAAATAAAAATAAAATAAAATGAAATAAAATCTCTGCACAAAGGAAAATAATTGCATCTCCTAAGGTAGCCGAAAATTAGGAATTGCAACACACAACTGCTTCACTAGCATCACACAGGCACAATATTTTGAGAACCAAATACTTTTTACTGAAACAACCTCACTAATGGGAAGAAAACATTCTTGCAATCAATGTATACACAAGAACAAGGCTGACTTCCATAATTGTATGGGGAAAATGCTGCAATGAACAAAAACCATTTTTTGACATGATATGCTCATAAAATTTTTCTCATAACATTGAATATAAATATTATAGTTATGCAATATAATTAAACAAATGAATATTGAACAAGATATTTTTATAAAACATTTTTGTGAAATTTGGTTAGTATAAAACATTTTTGTTCAAATACTCTTAAAACAATTTGGTATAATAATAGATTGCAGTAATATTTTAAATAAAATTCATAAAAACAATGAAATATATATTTTGAGACTTGGAGCTGCATAACCAAAGCACAAACAAATGCAAATGATATTAAAATTATAAGACTCTAAATGCAGTAGAGATAAATTATAATAAATAAAACTCTGCAAGGAATGCTGAGAGAAGGCAAACACTCATCACAAATAAATTCCTCTACAAAAAGAAATATTCATTTATGACTGTTCACTTCAACAGGTCTAATGAATTTGAAAACAAGATCCACTGAATAAAAATCAAATTTCACTTTGGGGTGGTATATTTACTCTTGCTTGCAAAAACAGAATTTTCCTTCTCTTTTGAGTAATTTGTTACCACAAATTAAATTAAAGATTAAGTTCTTTATTACATATCATGCAGAACTGTTACAAGTCTTATTTAGATAAGCAGGAAATTTTGTTGTTTCATCATCTTTATTTCTAGTGTTAATAAAACTTCTGTTATATTTGGAGATTATTTGAAATTAATATTAATTTTTGCATTTCATTACTTTCAACAGTAAGGAATATAAAGTACTTCCCTTTTTAATACACATAGTGTGATTTATGAAAAACCTAGAACAAATTTTGAATGTAACTTTCATATATTCAAATTAGTTTGTTTAATTGTCAACAAGAAACATCTGACAGATGCCAAATGTTCAGAATATTCAGAAATTTATACTAATCAAAATTGTCTTGGTAACGCTGCAAACAAAATTTACCTCCCAAAAATTAAATATTTCAGAAAAATGATTTTTTTCTTTTTCTTTCATGTCTGTGGAGAATCCATGAGCCACACTATTCACCAGAATTGTATCTTGTGCTTTACAAATACATCAACCCCTAGAAACTACATAGTCAAAGAACATAGTTCAAAAGAGACTCACAAAAATTGGAATCTTTATAAACGTATGCCTTTTATTAGATGAAATATCAACAATTTATACGATGAAACAATGAATATCAGTTACTCTTTATTAAAACTAAATCATTTAAAACAAATTTTAGAACAAACTCAAATTAACAAGTGATTTGTTTGCCACTTACAACTCTCTAAGCATTCCCAGACATTTCTTATCTGAGTAACAGCCAATACCAAAGGAGATATGCATTATTACTCACATTCATTCCACACAATTCAGTGTCTAATTTTTCTCTTAATATCATACGAGCACATCAATCATTATCATAAAAATCTACAAGTGTACAAGAAGCAGTATAATATCTGAAATTCAGAACTGTTTGAAACTACAATCACACAGCAAAACTGCATCTGCAGCAAAGTTCTGATGAATACGTATGTAAAATTAATAAAATTGAAACAGAAATTTTCAAATTTTCTATATTTCTCTTTCAACTTTTAGTCACATTGTTACTAAACACTGCCTATATTTAATGTAGAAATCAGTAAACATTTTGTCACTGGTATATCTTTGCACACAGCATTATTAAATTCTTTAACAATTTTTAAATTGAAAACTTTTCTGAAGTACCATAAAAATGATCATTAAGGAAAACATATTCAATTTGAAGATCACTTTCAATGACATGCTATAATATATAGCAACAATCAACAATCTTACCCATGGAATACAATTGTACACGAGGTTGAATTAAAACTTTTCTTGAAAAGCAGTAGGCCATGACATTAAAAACCAATTTGAATGTTGTTGAACACAATTTCTTAAAAATTACCCTCTAAACAAAGCCCTGGTAGCAATTATTTAATATCCAATTTCACAATTAGCTGGAAACAGTTGTACTGAATTTATCTCAAGGGAAAATCAATTAAGATTCTTTTGAACTTTTATTTTTGTACCAATTAAAACACCTTATTATTAAGAACACTATCAGAACGGAACCAAAAAGTTTACACAAGTGCCCGCATAAAAAATATAATGTAGTTTAATGCTAATACTACCAAGGCAACAAGTGTCAAGATACTGAAGACCTGAAGATTAAGAGAAACATTTGAAAATTACAGTAATGAAGAAACAAAGCTGGAGCAAGGTAGGAATGTAATCTGATTCTCAATAAGACTTTTACTTATTTAATCCAAATACAATAACCTACAAAAATCATATAATTTATACTTGCAAATTTTATATAAAAGAAAAATAACTTACAATATTTCACTATAAAAAATTGCACTTAATTTTTAATCTCAAAGATATTTTTCAAACTCGTATTTAGCAAAAGTACATAATGTATGAATAAATGAAATTAACAAAGTACAAATATTTTAGACAATACTCTTTTAAAAGGGACTATCTGTAATGAAGTGAAAACTATAAGATCATATTACTCTCCATAAGTTCAAACTATTTTTCTACAGTTAAAAGTTTTATTGCAGTATGTAAAGAAACCACATGATAGTTATAAATTTGCTCAATATTTAGGTGCACACAGAAATTAGGCACAGAAAGCAATCTTTATGCACCAATAAATTGACTAGGTCATGCTGATGTCTTCTATTTCTTTACATTTGATGCAAGATCATGAAACTTCATGGTTCCACTCTGGTAAACATGTTTACTAAAGTGTCACATTCGACAAATACCAGTCATATCTGATTGTTAATTCTGAATACAGCGCTTAAAATAATTTTTAAATCTTTTTCGATTTATCTACTTCCCACAATTCAATACAAGTAAGCTAATGAAATTTTATTCCACACATTAAGCTTTGGCTGCAGCTATCCAAGATCAGCAATAACAGAGGTGCTTTCTCAAGAAACTTTAATCTCACACATGCTACTACTTAATACAATTTTAAAATTGTCTTTTTAGATCAAATGTATGTAAATGATTATGTATGTATGTTATAAAGCTTACACATTCTAATCACTGGAATAGTAATTTATGTTATAGGTGTTTGGCAGTAAGGGCATTCCTTCTGTGTGGTAACACATTTACTACACAGAACAAAATGATTGCAAGGATTCAATGTGACACTGCGAACCCCTTCCTCGCACACCATACATTTTGTGGCAGTCTGCAAATAAATTATCTGAAACAAAAATAAATATAATTACAGCAACAACACTAGGAATACTGCTTACTTTATATTTTTCCTTTCCTTTCCTCTTCAAATTTACCTTTTGAATTTCCTCCAGATCATTCTTCAGTTGAGATTCTAATGATTTTAATGTTGCAAGAGAAAGAGTTTTCAATTCAGAGACTCTTCGTAAACCATGTAAATAAGGACTACCTTGTAAGAGATCTACTTCTTTCTGAAGAGCTTTTGCTTGAGATATTGCCTGAAAATAACCACATTTATCAGTGCCCATCAGTTAGTGTCAAACAAATAAAGTAGAAATTAAAAATTGGAGTCTCTTGGTCTACATAGCAAGTATTATTTTCCAATGCCACAATGTTTACAAAGTTCAATGAAATGTAATATAATGATTTATCTGACATTTTTGGACGTCTACTGAGTTATTAACTTTCTCTCAGCAAGTTTTCAACTATGCAAAAATGTTCACAGCTGCACTTAAAACAATTGTTGAAGACTTAAATTTTAGAAAACATATGCTTTTAGAGTGAAAGATCATGCTAAGATATAATTTAAATATTGAAATAGAATTCAATAGAGAAAAAATGAGAATTCAACAGAGAATTACAACTTTTCTTTCATGGAATATATTTGTTAAAGTGATTAAGGAAAGGTTCTGGTTCTACATCTTCAATCTACCAGGTAACTTAGAACAACTTTTAGTGAATTTTATAAATATATCATGCGGAAGACACCTCTTTTAGAAATATAAGCAGAAAACTTTCACTAAAGCAACGAACACAAAAAACTAGCCTGTTACAATTTATCACAAGTTTATTTGGAAAGTATGAGAAAGTAGAATAACAAACAGAGGTTTTAGCCAGCCGGCAACGTCCGGCAATAATAATAATAATAATAATAATAAAAAAACGTTTTTGATATTGATGAAAGGTGAAATTAATTAAGACAATCATTTTTCACCATGACAATGTTATAATCTATACTAATAAAAGTGAATTCAATGAGTTGTAACCAATATTGATTCAACAAAAATAGGGTTTGAATAAATACACAATTGTTACTGGCTCTTCCTCATGATTAATGTAGTGCCCTCACAAATTTTGGTAAATATTAGTACAACACAAATGCAAAAAATAAATAATTTAAATAACATGTTTGTAGATGTACTACAATCATAATTGTTTACCTGTCACTAAGAGCAGATTGGTTCCTAATAGAATCGGCTCTGGTTATAGTGAACTTCTGAGGACTAACATTTTTGGTACACTATATGAGAGGTTTACAATATCCAATGTCTAAATTAAATAGAATTTCTCTACAATGATTGATGTTATTTATACACAGATGCAGCAAAATACATTAACAGCGTGAGTTGAAAATTTCAATATCTTAATTCCATCTTAAAAATCAATTATTTTCATTTGTTTACTATGTACATTTTTCATTTGTAATTTTTCTAGAATCTTCTACCGAATTTATGCTCTCTCCAGTTTTTACTCATGATTTATCAATAGGCTGGCTTTTTCTTGCAAACAAATGACGTTACTGCTGAAGACTACGGTCACTTGTAAGTTAGCTAGGCAAACATTTCTTCCTCTCAGGATGCACCTCTCACTCTCGGAAAGTCCTTTTACTCACCACAATAACATACAAAATCCTTTTGGTAGCACATGGTGCAAGTGACTAATGAAACAGATTGCTTTTCCAATTGTTGTGACAGGAGTCGCCAGGCTGTGGAAATGAAATGACTCCTGTTGCCTATGTAGAACTTTGTTGTGCGGATTCTTAAGTAGCATGAAGCTTGAAACTGATGGAAGCCAGTAGCTCATACAGGAGACAGCCTATGTTTCCGCTGCGAATGTGAGCGCCATATAATCATCAGCAAGGTCCCCTTCTCATTGTCGGCAACATCCACCTCTGGAGAATTCTTCGATGATGACCTTTGGCTGATGATATTTTTTAAAGCTGCCTAGTTTGGAATTTATGGCAGTGAGGCAAAATATTTTTTTCTGGGAAAGAATTAAGGTTCCAGGATATTATTTCTTACGTTCACTGAGGTCGAGGTACAGTGTTCACTCCAACCGAATCTTCCTTTTCTTGTTTGTATTGAAAGTGAAATGGGACTAGTGACAGAAGTTCACTATAGCATAGTTCACAGTAATCGGAGTTGACTATGTTCTGCCAGAGGCCAGTAGCAGGGTGGCAGAAGTAGTACCCAATAGATTTGCTAGAGGCCACTAGGAGTGTGCACGATAAACATTTTGAATCTGACAGCAATGTACTGTGGTTTATATAAAATTTTCCTTTTCGCAAGCCTAGGCATTACCGGGTATATTGCTAGTATTCAATAAAGAAAATATCTCACAAAGATGACTTTACAAGTTAAATAAGATCTCGCATATAAGAAAGATACAAACATCTATAAATAAAACAAGACATAAATTTTCAAAGGAAGGTCCAAAATTGTTAAAAATCAAAATCACAACACTACAAATCACAAAAATAAAAACAAGAATAAAATCCCATACCTTCACAACAATTCTGTACACAGTCTGCTCATTAGTGAAAACTGGACTATGAACAGAAAAGAAGGATGGCAAATTTTCCTAGTCATATGTCCTTACATTTACCAGTAAATGTATGTTGCTGTGATTAACGGGTGTTTATGAGGAGTGCAGATTGACTATTTTTGGAACTGTGGCAAAGGGGAGAATGTTTTTGAGTTTGTCACATTATTGGACATATGATCTGACTGTGCAATTGAAGGGAGGAGTTTTTACTTGAGATTGGAAAAAATTGAGTGAATATTTCCTCCTGAACTAAAACATAACCTCAAAATAAATTTGTGATTAAATTCAGGTTGCTGTAGACAGCAGCAATTGCGGCTCTTGGCACCAATTTTAAATTACCAGTTACAAAATTAGTGCAAATTGCTTTAACACTAATGGAAGTAGGTCTCTTTGAGGTGGAATCCAACTTCTTATATGATTTTGGCCATAGAGGCGAGAGAAATGTACTATAAATTACTGTAATTCATATATTTGGATACTATAGTGTTTAATTACAGGTTTGAATGTATATATGCAAGTATTGCAAAGAAACAGTATCCAAGGTTATTTAACTTTTGTGATGTGCCAAGCGAGGAATCCAACCCCTCATCCAACAGCGAAAGGGCTGCAAATCGAGAGCTGGTGAAAATCCTTAGGCAAGAGTTAAAAAACACTACAAAGGAGTTGAGTGATAAACATTTTTTATCGTGAAGACTAACTCGTATGTAACCAAAAGGAGGATATGACGAGTATCAAGAAAGATGTCGATAAAATTGCAAATGCAGTAAGTAAGCTTACAGCAGACATTCAATCATGCAAGGAAGGGGAGAAGAAACTTAAAAAAAGATTGAATCTTCGCAAGAAGCTATGTCAAAATGAGAAAATGAAATATCAACAAAACTCCAAAATATGGAAACAAATAAATTGGAAGTCTGACTGTGGAAGTGAAAAATACGTACAAAATACAAGACTCTGATGTGGAATCACCCTGGTTGAAACTAAAAATGGGAACATAGTGTATGATGTATGAGGAACATGTAGACCACTAACACCCAGCAATCAGATTCAGTGTGATTCACTAATGAAGACTTCATTACACCCCCGATTAAAATGCCAAATATTGGTCAAAGGGATCACTTGGCAATTATGACACCGCTATAAGTAGAATCGCCCATGAATAACGGGGTTTCTTATAAATCCATCTCTAAATGTAATTTCTTTCAAGCAGACTACATAACAATAATGAGACACCTGAACACCATATATTACGAAATACAGATATTAACGAAGACGCTGAAAACAATGTTGAAATTAACTACAAGAATTTTTGTGAAACATCTAAGGGTCTTTTATATACTCTCTCATTACATATCAAGAATAGAATAAATATAAATAAACCTTGGATTAATCATAAGATCATAAAACAAAGCAGTCTCAAATGTCGCACAAGGACAAATTATAGAAGAATTGGAATAGACGAAAGGTACACCACGTATAGATACATCTCAAACAATCTCACCTCTTATGTGAGACAGTGTAAACAAAAACGCAAAGAGCAAATAGTTCAGGATGGTGTCAAAACTTTCTTCTCCTACATACGAAGACAAACTAAATGTAATACTGGTCCTCCTATGATTGTTCGGTATGGACATTCTGTGAAACTGATCCAAGTGAAATCGCAGAATGCTTTTCAAATGATTTCGGAAAAGTATGTACTGTTCAACCAGAAGGCCCCTGGCCAATTATTAAAGAGAAATGTACCAAAATTATTGAAAACATTGTATTTTCCAATATTGAAACTGCCCAGATAATTTGAGGACTGAATGCAAGCTCATCCACTGGTTCTAATGGTATTCCAACCGTGAATCAGAAAAGTTGTAAACTACAACTGGTCCATTTACTGAACAGAATATTTAAACAATCATTAGAATCAGGGAAGTTCCCTTTGCATGGAATAACACTGTTATCATACCAGTTTTCAAGGAGACAAAAGGTTACCAAAAAAAAAAAACTACAGACCAATAAGTAAAGTCGTGGTAAGTAAAGTTGTGGTGCCTCCGCCTCAGAAGCCATTACCCTGACTAGGATACAACGAATGACAAGTGCACTGTTTCTTACCTTCGGCAGCTAATGAGCTCCCCATATTAGTATGACTTCCTGAGTTTTTGGCTTATATATTTTGTTTTCGGGGGTAGACCTAATTCTTACCGTTTTTTTTTTTTTTATTATTTTTTTAAAATATTTTTATTTAGTAAACTTTATTTTGAAGAATATAGTGAATAGAGTGCATTATTGCTCCTACATTATACTGTGCTCAGAAGATCTTCAGAAAAGAGGAGTGAGGAAGCGTTTATAGTTCAGGAATATTTTAAGAGCCTAAAAATTAAGTTAAACACGTGCCAAAGTTATATGAATGACAAGTGAAGCAACTGATTTATCTGGCTTCACCGTGAAAACAATTATACATGAAGGAAACGTATGTCCAAATAAAGGTGTTCTTACATTTTACAAAAGGAAGGAAATTTGAAAGAAGAAAATTTTAGTCTATACTTTCATGAAACAATTAGATGAAAGATTCACTTTATATTGTAAATAAAATATCAAAGAAACTTGTGCAAAAACTGATAACATGGATTGCAAAATTTATGAAATATAGGAGAAACGTCTCTGAGCAACATGAAGACAGTGATAACAATAGAAGCAGCAATGAAGAATGACAAGCTCTCTATTCCATCCACCAATCACATCAGTTTGCAAGAAGGACATAAGAACCTGGATACTTCACCCTAGATGTAGTAGGGGATCATACACAATGAATGCTACTGCTAATTGATTTCTAAATTTGTTGAGCTACAATAAGAAGTGTAAAATTCACATCCTGGAATGCCTGCAAATTGTTCAGGCACATCAACACAGACAAGTGTCACAATCAACACAGAATTATGAAGACTTTAGTACTCCTCTAGATTTATATGGACCATTAAAAACTAATAACAGAAGAATCAGAATATTAATCAAAGAAAGCAATTTGTACGTATTTATTTCATGAGAATTTTGCTCCTGATATGTTGTACTAAAAACATGAACTACGAAATAATTATTTTTAAACTGTAACTTGACTGTACTCTAATTTACATATAGGGTGAGTTGACAGTGATCATCGGGGATATAAGTATCCAATTGAGAGCTTTGTCACTAACATTTTTGATTGCGAATATCCTCATTCGATAACTGCGTCCCAACTGATCTCAAGTCAATATGCTATATATTTCAACTGGAGTATTTCTGCGTTAAGTTGTGTTGCAAAATGTTTATTTGGTACTTTTCTCTTATTATTTTCAACAATTTTCATGAAAAGGATTTGATGTAGGAAAGCACTTTATGATAGTCTAATTCCCCTGGACAGCTTATTGCGTAATTTAAAACCATTATCTTAGATCTCTTTGTCATATTTACTGCCCTATGCATAAACATAATTTGTATTAAAGGAGGTATAGCAAAAATGAACTAAACTGAATGCTAACTCTGCGTGTATTTTGGAGTTAAGTTCTCAAAACTGAGAAAGGAGGTTTCCTGCCTTTTAATAAGTAGTGCAATTACTTCAAAGTACAAACGTCTAAGCCCTGTGATGTTTTCCAATGGAATTCCAAACATGCTCGTTATCCTCACCAACAGTAACTGATTAACACATGATAATCCAGGTTTTTCAGATATTAATGCTAATCTCCTGGGCTCGATAAGGTCAAATTGCATCTGAACGAAGGATGTGAAAGAGAGAACTTGTAACCAGAGAGTTAAAAGTTTTGTGAAGACAAAACTCGTTTAAAAGAAGTTCATAAGAAGAAAAGAGAGACTAGAACCGACTCTGATAAGATGTAGTAAAATTATTTGATGGTAACAACCGTCCTAAATCTCATGCAGAAGCATGCCATGTTTTTCTTCTTCGAGAAGAGAAAAAAAGAGTTCCTAAAAAGCTTCTTGGAATAGACAATAAAACACTTATGAATGAACGAGTTAGCACAAGATTTCTGATTAGTGATGAATTGAATTTTAACATAGGCAGTTTAATTTTGAACAAAATTATTTTTGACTTCCAATTAATTGCGCAATTAGTATCTTCTGAAACTGACAACAGTTGGAGCAGAGAAAAAGCAAGGGCGTCAGCTTCTAAGTTATTATACAATACCTCATCACGTTGCTGTTCTGCTATATTTGCTTTCCGATTTGACTCCTCTGATTCTCGTTGCCAGGCTTCACAAGCTGAACGAGCTTGAGCTATCCTCTCATCCCAGGAAGCTAATTTTGATCTACTGCTAACAAGTTCTTCACATAATCTTTGCATCTGTAACTAAAAGTACATTATAAATACGTTTGTCAAAAAAAAAAAAAAAGA